TTACTTTATTGTCTATTGCCGCCTGGTGGTCAGTACATATAACAGCATCAACATCATCATTGTACACATATCATGACATCCTCATTTTTTTTTTTTTTTTTTTTTTTTTTTCAACCTTAGGCTTTCAATAAACACATGCATTTTTATTTTTATTTCTGTCTGGCATAGCATATATTTAGTTAAACTTTTTTTTTTTTTTTTTTTTTTTTTTTTTTTAGAACTGTTTAACATAAATGGCGCAATGTGCTACTCCTCAACTAGCCTTTTAGGTCTATTAACAACACGACCACTAGCTGTTTTTGTATGAAGCATTTCTGAGCTGACATTATCGGCAGTAGTTACAGGTTGATTATACATTTCAGGTTCTTTCTGTGAATCTGCACTGTTAACTACATTCTGCTGAGTAACATTTCGCTCATCCTTTAGCACATTTTGATTCTTTGACAACATCAAAAACTTTCGATTTCTTCTGTACCTTTGTCCATCTGGTGTCTGAACTACGTAAGATCTCGGGTGGTCAGACTTTCCTGAAACCTGAGCTGGACACCATTTACCATCTTGCCACAATCTCACAGTGTTTCCAACCTGCAGTTGTTGTAATGGTTTTGCTCCTTTGTCAAAGTAGTCCTTTTGTTTCACTTGTCTCACCTGTAGCATCCGCTGTACTCCAGTAGTGACAGTTTTGGGATCCAACATGCATGAAGGTGTCGGGAGCTTGGTCCTCACGCGACGTCCCATTAACAGTTGTGCTGGTGATCTTCCGATGTCCTCAAATGGTGTACTCCTCAGATTGAGCATTGCCAAATATGGATCTTTTCCATCTGCTTTGGCCTTTTTAAGCAGTAGTTTGACGGTCTGCACTCCTCGTTCTGCCATTCCATTAGACTGTGCATGATGGGGGCTCGATGTTTTGTGAATAAAGTCCCACCCGTGTGCAAATGTCTGGAATTCCCTTGAGCTAAACTGTGGTCCATTATCTGAAATTACAATTTCAGGAATACCATATCTAGCAAATTGGGATTTCAGATGTGTGATGACAGTTGCACTTCTTGTGTCTGATTTTAACCACTCCACTTCAACAAACTTTGAGTAGTAGTCCACTAAGATTAAGTATTCCTGCTGGTCAAATGTGAATAGGTCGACGCCTATCTTTTGCCAAGGCCTTTCCGGAACACTGTGTGGATGTAATGGCTCTTTGCTTAGTCGTTTCTGATATGTACTGCACACATCACAACTGCTCACTAGGTCAGTAATACTTTGAGACATGCCAGGCCAAAAGAGTACTTCTCTCGCTCTGCGCCTGCAGCTTTCAATACCCAAGTATCCCTCGTGAATAAGTTTTAGCATGTCCTCTCTTAAAGATACCGGAACTATCAGTCTTTCGCCTTTCAACAGAATCCCTTCAACAAAGGATATTTCTTCTCTGTAGTTCCAATAAGCTTGAATGTCTTTCACAACTTGGCTTTTTGTCACTGGCCAACCTTGTAGTACTGTTTTGGAAAGTTTAGTTAAGGAAGCATCTTTTGCTGTTTCTATTTTGAACAGTTGCAACTTTTCGTTTGACACAGGTAAGTTGGACATTACCATGTGCACTTGCGCTTCAATGTCTTTGTCAGGTGAGTTTGTTACTGGCAGATAAGCTCTAGATAATGCATCTGCAATATACATCTCTTTTCCTGGCTTGTACTGCACATTCACTTGGTACTTTTGAAGTCTCAACAATAGTCTCTGTATTCTGGCTGGTGCGCTGCTCAGTGGCTTTTTCATTATAGCTTCCAGTGGTTTATGGTCAGATTGAACATCCACTTCTCTTCCATATATGTACTGGTGAAAGCGCTCAGCTCCGAATACTATTGCCAACATTTCTTTTTCTATTTGCGCGTAGCGCTGTTCCGTTTCAGTCAATGCACGTGAAGCATAGGCTACTGGCTTATTCTCTTGCAGTAAAACTGCACCAAGTCCACTTTTGGACGCATCTACTGACAGTGTTACTGGTAGTTTCACATCATAGTACCTGAGCAATGGCGCTTCAGTCAGTATTGTTTTCAGCTTGGTGAACGTATCCTGATGCTCTTCATTCCAGTCCCATGCAACGTCATCTCGGGTTAGAATGCGTAGAGGTTCAGTGTGTTCTGACATATTTGGGATAAACTTTGCAAGGTAAGTTACCATACCCAAAAATCGCTCAACATCTTTTTTGCATTCTGGAGTTGGCATCTTGACTACAGCTTCAATTTTACTCTGATCCGGTTTCAAACCGTCTTTTGAGAAGATGTGGCCCAAGTATTTAATTTCTTCAAGACCAACTTTGCACTTTGCTTTGTTCAGCTTAAAGTTCTTTGCTCTGGCTATTTCTAGCACTTGTCTCAGTCTGTTGTCATGTTGCTCGATTGTCTCCCCCCAAATCAGTATATCGTCAATGTACGTTTCAACGCCTTCAATGCCTTCAAACAGGTGTTTCACCGTCCTGTGAAACACCTCTGGAGCGGAGTTAATCCCGAAGGCGAGCCTTATCTGTTATCTACAATAACAATGGGGTTGACCCACTTGGTAGGCTCCTCAATCTTTGTTATGACCTCCAGTTTTTCCATTCTTTCCAGTTCTGTTTTCAGTTTTTCTCTTAAAGTCACAGGTATTTTTCTTGGTGGGTGTACCTTTGGAGTTACACTCGCGTCAATCCGAATGCTGTGTTCTCCCTCGAGGCACCCCAAGCCCTCAAATACATCGGCATATTCTTTGAAAATGTCCATTTTGGTGTTTTTGTCCAGTGCATGAATTCTTTTGATGAGACCCATGTCCTCGCATGCGTTGAGTCCCAGTATTGGCATTGCATCTGGTTTCACCACAATGAACTGTAGAGTGTATGGCTTCTTTTTATATTTGACCATCCAGTTGCATTCACCCATGACTTGAATCTGGTTTCCTGTGTACGCAAATAGTTTCACTTTTGTCTTAATGTTACTCCTCTGCCCATGCTTTGCAGCAGCTTGTAAGGGATTACATTGGCCTGTGCCCCTGAGTCAAGTTTAAATTTTATGTGTTTGTGTTCCACTTTCAACTTGACAGTCCATTGGCCTTTTAGTTGCTGTGCTTTTGCTTGTACACTTCCAACAAACAGATTTGCTTGCTTCATGTCGTCCTCGTCGACAGTGTGCACTTTCTTTGAGCGACACATTTTGGCGTAGTGATTCAATTTATCACAATTCTTACATTGCTTGCCATATGCGGGGCATTTCTTTGCTGCATGCTCACTTCCGCATCTTTTACAGAAAAACGTGCTTGCTTTTTCTTTTTCACTTTGTTTAGTTTTATTGTGTTGCATCTTTTTATATGGCTGCTTGTATCTAACTGCATCGACGTGCTTGCTTTCACGTGCTGATGCTTGAGTGCTGAAGTCTTCCTCTTGCATCTGCTTGATTTGCACTTTTGTAGTTTCTGCCGCTAAACACAGTTGGGTAGCTCGTTCAAGATTACGGTCAGCTTCTCTCAAAAGTCGTTCTCTCATCACATCTGATGTGATTCCACAGACAACTCAATCTCTAATAAGAGACTCTTGTAATTGTCCAAATTCACACGACTTAGCTCTCAGTTTTAGCTCTGTGATGTACTGGCTAACTGTCATGTCCCCTTGAACACACGTGAAAAATCTGTATCTCTCATACGTAATGTTCTTCTTTGGGTTGCAGTATTCGTCGAACTTTTCCATGATTTTATTAAGTTTATGCTTATCTTCTTCTGCGAACGTGAAGGTATTGTACACTTCCACGGCATCTTCACCGGCAATATGAAAAAACAGAGAGGACTGCACTTTAGCTGTTTTGCTAGCTCCTCCGGTCGCTGCTAGGTATAGCTCAAACCTTTGACGGAACCTCCTCCAATTTTCAGACAGGTTACCGTGCTGCAGCTCGAGTCCAGACGGTGGCTCGAGTCCTTCCATTGCAGTCTTGTTGAATTTATATTACTTTTTAACTTCTGACACCATGTTTTGTTAAGTATTTGCTTGAGTCAGTCACAGCACGCACCGAGTCGATTCAGCCATCTTGCTTACTTTATTGTCTATTGCCGCCTGGTGGTCAGTACATATAACAGCATCAACATCATCATTGTACACATATCATGACATGGACCAGTGTAAAACCATGAATCCTCTCTGCTCTGGTCTGGACCAGTGTTAAACCATGAATCCTCTCTGCTCTGGTCTGTACCAGTGTAAAACCATGAATCCTCTCTGCTCTGGTCTGGACCAGTGTAAAACCATGAATCCTCTCTGCTCTGGTCTGGACCAGTGTAAAACCATGAATCCTCTCTGCTCTGGTTTGAACCAGTGTAAAACCATGAATCCTCTCTGCTCTGGTCTGGACCAGTGTAAAACCATGAATCCTCTCAGCTCTGGTCTGGACCAGTGTAAAACCATGAATCCTCTCTACTCTGGTTTGAACCAGTGTAAAACCATGAATCCTCTCTGCTCTGGTCTGGACCAGTGTAAAACCATGAATCCTCTCTGCTCTGGTCTGGACCAGTGTAAAACCATGAACACTGTACTGCAGCTACATCTCAAATAGAAAAATACAATAAAAATAAAACTTGTAACGCACAAAACAACAACTGTTTCAGAGACACTTAGGACGTTTTCCAGAACATTCAAAAGATGTAGTGATAGAGGGCGATACACAAATACATTGAATTGAACAGTGGCTTTCAACACGGGTCAAAACACATCTTCCTACTAGAATAACTAGTTGAACTTTGGTCTCTGATGTCGTGTGGATGACTATTGTCTGAAACATTCCCATCAACACAAGAGTCTAACTCTTACCTTTGAGAGCTGACAGAATCTGGGTGTGATAGAAAAACCAGTTGGACCTGACATAGCGGCATCATCAGCTTCCACCTGTGATTTCTGCAAACACATAAACAGCACATCAATATAGTCTCATCAGAACGAGCGAGACAGAGGAGCAGACAGGAGCTTTCGGTCCGAAGATCCGCAGTCTGTTCTGATGATCATGAAGACCTTTGTGCTGATCCTGGTTCTACTGTGTGTCTTCATCCACACAGGTACGACACCAGCTTTGGTCTGGTTCTCATTTTATATCAATGTTATTGAAAACAAAATATCTACATGCATATACATACAAACATACACACACAAACAAACACACACACACACACAAACACACACTAAACCCTCTTCTGTTCTCCACAGCTGAAGGACTTCAATGCAGACGTTGCTATGGTTACTCGTCATGTGATCAAACACCACAGAAATGTTCAGGAAGTCAAACGTTCTGCTTCTCACGCGCCACCACAGGTAAACGCTTCTGTTGATACTCAATGTTACTGATCGATAATTACCTCTGTCTGAGAGGTGAGGTGATCACCAGCGTTTGTCTGTGATCCACACACCTCAAACATGTATGGGACGATTTGAAGGAAATTACACAATGGCTCAATGCACAAAGAACTACATTTTCTCAACTAGAATGGAAACGGGCCTCTGGGCAAAGTTTTGTCTTCTACGAGTGCTTTATACTTTAGATCAGATTCAGATTCAGATTCATTTATTTGCCATTTGCAGTAAAACCACATAGGAAAAACTGTGCAAGACTACCCCAGTGTGCACCAGACAGAGAAGACGACACACACCAGAGCTCTTGCCACGGCGCCATCTTTACGGCGCCATGCGACAAACAGTAGAATAAACAGCAGAGAGCAATAACATACAGTTTCACGGACAGTTGGATAGACACATTGTGCTTTGTATAAACCACGGATTTTTTTCTCAGGATGAGCACCTCCGACAGCCGGCCCAATGTGGCTGTCAGAGGGGGGCGGGGTCAGGGAGGGGGTGAGTCGGAAACACAATGAGGAATGGAGGGGAGGGAGGGAGCAAGATTGATAGGTAGAGGGAGGTGGGGGAACGGGATCCTTGCTGGAGACTGAAATAGTGTGAGATTGTTGTAGATTGTGGGACCTTGTTATTATGGCCTTGGCCGAGGAATGTGAGATTAGAGTGGAGAGAAGACACAGCAGGAGAAAAACACATCGCCTGAGGGGGACAATATTGTATGCAATGTAGCAGTCAAAAGCAGGCAGATATTCTATTAAATCCAATTAATCCGAATTGCGGCGCCCTCAGACCTCCGTACACAGGGGCAAATCCAAGCCGGGTCAGAGAGTTCAAGCCTGACACACAGTGGGCAGCAGAAAGTCACATCCTTCATCCCAGAGGCAGGGATGGTTGGCAGCCTCCTCGGTGGTAAGGCTCCGGGAGCATGAGATTGAAGGCGGATCGGTGCAGCGGGTGCAGTGATGCAGTCGTTGTATCGGATTCAAGTGGTAAAAAGGTCAATCTCTGACTGAAAGAACGAGATCGCGAATGCAAGCGGTCGTAATACAGTGTCTATGGAGACAACTATTAAAAACGCAGACTCAGAAAGATATCCCAACTGTTTTCTCTTGTGTCACAGGTTCCAATAGTTATGGGATGTCCACAAATCATTATGTGGAGAAGGGATGTGCGTCACATGACATTTGCACGTCGACCGGCAGTCACGTGGTGTCATATGACATTGGTTATCGGGCTCATGTCACCAACACCACCTGCTGCGACACCGACAACTGCAACGATGCTGTCGCTGACTGTGAGTCTTCATCACATCTGCAACTTTTACTCTGAGAAAAACTGATTTTACTCTGATTCCTCACATGGTCTCAAAGACTACTCTGTGCTAACAGCAGAGGGCCGCAATTAGCCCGTGGACCTCAGTTTGGACACGACTGCACTTGTGTGTGATGTTTTTCTGTACATTCCTGTTTTGTCATCTGTTTCCCCTTTGTCTCCTTTGTGGTTCTCCCGGTTTTCCTGTATTAATGATACAAAAGTGTTAATAAGCTTCATTATCATGTTTGGGCGGTAAACCTTTTGTCCAGATGCGGACAGACTGACCACAATCCGACCCTGCTCCTCTCTTTTCCTAAAAACTATAATTTTCTCTTTTACTGTGGTCAGATTTAGCTTGAGGTTCTATATTAGAGCTATACCATATATAAAGTTCAGAAAATCAAAACTGTTTTACAATTGGTGTGAGTGGTGAAACTAAAGTGGCCCTGTGAATCTAAAATGTTTAGACACCCCTGCACTCGAGCATATATCACACTACTACACCTTTGTAACTGGTCAGTGTTCAAACGTGTTGCAGCTCTGGTCCTGTTGCTCTTGGACGTTCACTGTAATCCCTTGTTTCTCAAATCTAGATTCGACGCCGTCGCCCCCTGCTGGACCTCTGCAGTGCTACGGCTGTGACCCCTCCAGGCTCGAGTGCATTGCCAACGTGACCTGCCGCGACCACGAGTCCTGCTTCCAAACATGTAAACCTCCAGTTGTAAAAAGAAGAATCAAAGCCTTGTTTCTGTTGATGGTGGCTCTATAATATAGGACTGTATCAAGTCCTGGTGATCCAAGATGGGCGCCCCTATAGGGCACTGTCCGGTTTCCGAAATGTGCTAAAAATAGCTCAGATGACTGCGCATGTTTCGGACAAACATTGTCCGACTCCGTTGAGTTCTACTGTGTTCTCCACATACGCGTGTGCATTTATTTGGGCTAAATCATTGAATCATGGTGACAACAAAACACTGCAGTTATGGTGCAGTGTTTGAAAGTATGAAAGTAACATTCAACCCGTCCGTTAAACCACACCATCGGACCAGACCAGGACCAGATCAGACCAGGACCAGACCAGGACAAGTGCAAGAGGTGGGTTCGTGCTTGTGGTCGGCAGAATTTCTCTCATGAAAATGTTAAAAAGGACTCATATTTGTTCAAAACACTTGGTCTGTGAAGCTGAACCAACTGTGGAGCATCCAGGTCCAGTCCTAGCTACGTTTAGCTGGGACTGGACCTGGACCGTCTGGATCAGGTCCGTCTGAGCTCTTCTGAATGTAGTTAGCACAAACTTTCTCTTTATACCATTTACTTCCATCAATCCATATTAGTATTGTTTGTCCTAATCCAGAATGTATACAATTCTCACACCTTTTTTTCAACTTTGTGACTTTTTTTCAACTTCGTGACTATCGGAAAATAAGTTCAGACGAAGCGTGTCGGGGTCCGCTTATTATACTGCTTTGTACGAACTGAACACACAAAATAAACTTCAGTCACTATTAATGCCAAAAGGTTTATTTAATGAGTGCAAAGAAAATAGTTCCCAAAGGTTTTCCCGTGGCAGGTGAGTAACAGTGAGGCTGGTTAACCTACTTCAAAAAAGCGATGCTTTAGTCGCATTAAAAAAGTATTTTTGTCATGAAAACCTGAACAGATACTTCTGAAAACCTCCGTGCACGTGTGTTACTAATGTATGTATAATATATTCTCCCATTAACATTTACATGTGTTGATTGTCATTTGTGTTTATTGAGTGTGGCTCTGATAGTTTCTCTCAGAGACAGTAGTGGCGTAGCCCGTTGTGACCCATGGATCTATTATAATATCAGCTGACAGTAACTAACTAATGATCAAACTAATTACAAAGTGGACAGTACCAAAAAACAACTTGATAAATGAAAGTTAATCACAGCAAAATAAACAAAGAAGGCGCTAGCATTGCAATTTAAATGACAAGATAATGTTAGCATAATCCTCACCATTACCTTTTTATCAACTCAAACTTTCTACCAGTCACAGACCACGACATTCAAGCTAACGCTTTAACTGGTCTAACTATGGTCCTGATGGTTTGATGGTGGAATTTTGCCCCTGGTACATCATTTTCGTCTAAAGTGACAAGCGGTATTTGATTCATTTCGGCAGTGTTTGTCCGAAACATGTGGGCGGGAGTTGACAGGAGTTGAGCTGGGACCCTCCCCCACTGACGGGGACCGAAAGATTAGCAGAACTCGCCTATATTTGGGCATCGTCTGGTCCTCCTGGTTCTTTGCAGTGGACAAGCTCCCATGATGCTTTTCGCCAAATACGTGTGTGTGGCTCTCATGCACGTGCACAGAGGGGCTCAGCTGCGTTTGACCAATCAGAGCTGATCAGAGCAGAGCCAGAGCGGGAAGAAAAAGAACAGAAAAAAAGTTCAGGATGACAAGGGACACTAAAATCCCCATAAAATACCATCTTTGTGAAAGCTGTAGGTTCTCTGTCAGGTTCTCTGTCAGGTTCTCTGTCAGCTGAGGTCAAGCTGTTTTAGTTGGCATTACTTTTCTGTGTAGCCCTCGTGAATTTAGTCTTCAGTACCACAGCGCCCCCTGTGCCCATAGGTGGGACAGCTATAAGCTAGCTAATACCCAATTCAGTTTTTATTTTAGAACAATGGACTGTATACTAGGGATGTACCGAATCCAGGTTTTTGGGGTTCGGCCGAATACCGAATCCACTGGTTAAGATTCTGCCGAATCCGAATCCGAACCCGAATACCGAATCCTATTCCATCCTCAGTCCATTGATGTTTCATATGCAAATGTTTTAACAGCGGCGGTGTTGTGTACCGTTTAGGGTCCTTACCACCACGAGACAAATGGGCATTGCAAATTGGACATGTAGCTCGACCAGAATCTATTATAACATTTATAACAATCCCGTTTATCATTAAACACAAATACATTCAGTTCACAGCAGTGTAAAGCTTCAGAGATAAAGTACATATATTACTGTGCATGTCATGTAAAAATAAGAGCTAAAGCACCACACATGCATAAATAGCTTCCACTGGTTCAGGTCAAAACATTACATATATGGACATTTGAGAAACATGGACTCACCAACTCTGCTTCTACAGTCATACGCAGCTCAGATGACAAGTACCTGGCACTGGTAATCGGCTCCATAAAGTTGGTGAATAGGCAGTTAGTTTATGATCCCATCAGAACCGCATTATAGGTGAAAACAAGAATCATAACATCCCCTCGCACCGGCATATGACTAGAGCTAATTGGACCGCGGGGATCACATGACCAGGAAGAGACCTCAGCGCACCCGAAGAGGAACAGAGAGCAAGAGGATATAAACCTCCGCTAAAGTGCATGTTTATTTACACTTCCGAACGAATCTGATTTCCGTGACAAATCCAACAGCCACAGCGTAAGTGTAAGTGCAGGGTTCGGGTTCGGTGGGGAAAAATTCTAAGGTTCGGCCAGAAACCGAACCCCGTCAAAAAAGCCAATATTCGGCCGAATCCGAACCCAAATCCTGGATTTGGTACATCCCGACTGCATACAGATGGTTTAATGCCGTTTAATGCCCTCAGGGTTCTATTTTTCAGCCAGGTTTTAAACTGCTGTAAAGTAAAGATGCATGTACAGTTTTAGTCTTGCTCTATATAACGCACAATGTTAATAACTCGAGCAAACCCTTGGTGATATGGATCTCATTTGTTATCTTCAGCCCCAAGCCCTTACAGCGGCCATCAGTCATATTATGGCTGCATCTCGGAGAACGTGTGCAGCAACAGCAGTCTCTCTACACTTTACGGCGTCGACCATGTGTCCTGCTGCAACACTTCCCACTGCAACGTCCCAGGTGCGTTGTTCGTCCTGAGAACCCTTGTGACTGATTCAGGATTTTGTACATCAGGAACATCTGTAGTTGCACAGTGTGGGGTCTGCAGCCACACGGTAAATTCAACACATCAACACACACACCAACCTCACTCACAAACATTTGCAGGTCGGACACGAAATCTCACAAAACCTTGTTTTAGTGAAATGTACACAAAGGTGTTGGTCCAAGAGGTGGAGGCTGGACTTTCTGCACCATGACCAGTGTTGGTCTGGGAACAGACTCATAACTGAATGACGTTCTGAGACAGTTTTATACATACAGTATATAACACCAGCACAATGAGAAATAGTTACTTACAACATAAGCACTTGAACACAACACACTCGAAAATCCCAAGTTCACCAAATACAGAGCACGTGAAGGCAGCCTTAGGTCAGAGTTTTCCTCTCCTGCAGTGTGTTCACCCTGTCCTCTCTCTCACAGAGCTGGGGATTCAGTGCCAGACATGTGTGAATTACGACTGCTCTTCTCAGCGTTCGGTCTTCTGCTCCAACGACGTAACAATGTGTCACAGCCAGTACCGCTCAGGTAACTACGCTCTATTCTCATTGGTCAGTGCAGTAACAACAGTGAGCCTCAGCACACAAGATGTCTGCCCATCCAAGCAATCTCTGGTCCCGGTCTGAGTTGTACGTGCGCCGTTTGTGGTAATTTGGCAGACCGAGGCGAACACATGAGCATTCTGACCAATCAGGAAGCTGATGCACAGCCTGCTGAGAGTGTTTAGAAAGAGATGATGACGACCTGCACATGCAAAAATTACAGAAACAAGAGAAAAGTTAGTTGCACAATTGTGTGAAATTGTGTAGAAATCGATGTGTAGGATGACCAGGGACACTAAAATCCACTGAACCCAAACTTTGCGAAAGCAGTAGGTTCTATGAAGCTTAGAACAAGCTTTCATTCGACAGGATGAAGAATGCTATGCAAGTTTTAAGTCCAGAAGTCTGGTACGAATGTTTTTGTCACAAAATGATTTATTTATCAATCCAGGTGCTAAATCTGCCCCTGGTAAACTATGGATGTATACAGACCAGACCAGACTAAGCCTCCTACATGTCCTCTCTTTGTCTGAATCGTATTTTGAGTATGAGAATAAGCCGACAGTCCCTCGGAGCAAGGACTTGTCCAGTATTTTGGTGTTTTTGTTTCAGTGCAATCAGTACCAAATGTTTTCTCTTTCAGATACCTATCCTTATGGGACTTATACACATTTAGAGAAGGGTTGTGCTTCCTCTGAGAAGTGCCCATCTACAGGAAGTCACTTGAGTTCACATAACATTGGTTCTGGGTCGAGTCTCATCTACACCTCCTGCTGCGACACAGACAACTGCAACAATAATGACACTGACGGTGAGTCTATGCCAAATCCAATCCAATCCACTTCATTTATATAGCACATTTTATAAAACATGTTTCCAAAGTGCTGCACAGAAAAAGTAACAGATTAAAATATACAAGTGAACCTGTATCTCATGTTTAAACACACACTAGTGATGCGCGGGTCAGCTTTTTTTACAAACCTAACCCGCCCGCCCCAAATTAAAACTCAACCCGGCCCGCCCAACCCGAGAAGTGCGCATTTCTCAACCCAGCCCGCCTCAAACCAGCAGACGTTAAAACTACTGTTTTGATTGTCAAAATCAAAGGACAACTCTTTTTCAGATAAGACAACATAAAATGTTTGTTTTACAGGACGGATCAGGACATTTTTAACATTTCCTTAAAGATAACATTTCCATGGGTACGAAACAAATAACTGTTAATGTCAGGCTGGTTTTTGAAAATGGAAGCGCTTGTGGCCGAGATGCATAAAACGGCTTTTGCCACAAGTGATTAACTGGATAATCACGTTGTTAATCTTTTCAAAGAGAGAATATCGTGATGGAAAGAGAAACTATTGGTAATATAACACTGAACGTGATCATCTGCCTCAAACAGCTCCTCTGGTGTGTCTTCCTACTCAGCAAAAAACCAACGCCTTTTCTCTGGTATCCCTAACATTTATAATAAATACATAAATATAATAATCATAATGAAGATGCTTTCAAATAATTTAGCAAGCTGTAAACTGTTTATTTTATAACTCCACTTGGCTCCTCCCCTGCCAAACTTCTCTTGCTGCTCTCCATCTCCTCCGCAAACCACTAAATAATGAGGAAAAGGAAATATTCACTCAATCTATTTTGAGACGTTACACATACCGTATTAATAATATAGGCTAAGCCCACGTAACACCTGTAGGCCGCGTATTTACGCACCTGCTTTAGAAGGCCTCTGCTGTGATGCCCACACTGTCATCAGTCTACGTGCCTCTGTGTGGATTACACGTCTTTCATCGGGCTGGAGCATTTTGAGGCGTTTAAAACGGGGTCAGGAAGGTGGCAATCTTATGGTGCTTTCAGGCAGGATCATGCGTTGCATCGGCTTTCAATGCAAAGTCTATGGTGATGCGCGTTTGAGCGTCAAAATGCACGAACATCTCGGGAAGCACGAAAGGACTGTTCAGTAGAGACTCACAGACTGTTCAGTAGAGACGCACGGACTGCTCTGTAGAGACGCACGGACTGCTCTGTAGAGACGCACGGACTGCTCTGTAGAGACGCACGGACTGTTCAGTAGAGACGCACAGACTGTTCAGCAGAGACGCACGGACTGTTCAGCAGAGACGCACGGACTGTTCAGCAGAGACGCACGGACTGTTCAGCAGAGACGCACGGACTGTTCAGCAGAGACGCACGGACTGTTCAGCAGAGACGCACGGACTATTCAGCAGAGACGCACGGACTGTTCTGCAGAGACGCACGGACTGTTCTGCAGAAACGCACGACTGTTCTGCAGAGACGCACAGACTGTTCTGTAGAGACGCACCGACTGTTCTGTAGAGACGCACCGACTGTTCAGTAGAGACGCACGGACTGTTCTGTACAGACGCACGGACTGTTCTGTAGAGACGCACGGACTGTTCTGTAGAGACGCACGGACTGTTCTGTAGAGACGCACGGACTGTTCTGTAGAGACGCACGGACTGTTCAGTAGAGACGCACGGACTGTTCAGTAGAGACGCACGACTGTTCTGTAGAGACGCACGGACTGTTCTGTTCTGTAGAGACGCACGGACTGTTCTGTCAGAGAGACCACGGACTGTTCTGTAGAGACGCCGAGAGTCCAGAGAGAGACCAGAGAGACCAGAGTAGAGACGCAGAGAGAGACTGTTCAGTAGAGACCAGAGAGACCAGTTCCGGAGAGACCAGAGACCAGCAGAGACTGTTCAGACCAGAGAGACGACCAGACTGAGGACCGGACGAGAGACCAGAGACCAGAGAGAGACCAGAGACCAGAGAGAGACCAGAGAGAGACCAGAGAGAGAGACCAGAGAGAGACCAGAGAGAGACCAGAGAGAGACCAGAGAGAGACCAGAGAGAGACCGGAGAGAGACCGGAGAGAGACCAGAGAGAGACCGGAGAGAGACCAGACCAGAGAGAGACCAGAGAGAGACCAGAGAGAGACCAGAGAGAGACCGAGAGAGACCAGAGAGAGACCGGAGAGAGACCAGAGAGAGACCAGAGAGAGACCGGAGAGAGACCGGAGAGAGACCAGAGAGAGACCGGAGAGAGACCACAGACCAGAGAGAGACCAGAGAGAGAGACCAGAGAGAGACCAGAGAGAGACCAGAGACCAGAGAGAGACCAGAGAGAGACCAGAGAGAGACCAGAGAGAGACCAGAGAGAGACCAGAGACCAGAGAGAGACCAGAGAGAGACCAGAGAGAGACCAGAGAGAGACCAGAGACCAGAGAGAGACCAGAGAGAGACCAGAGACCAGAGAGAGACCAGAGAGAGAAACCAGAGAGA